TAGGCCTGCATGTTATGTCAATTCACCTATGTTTTAAAATCTCTCGGTAAGAATAAGGCGACGCATTTTCCGTTAGATATGCACAGAACTTGTATGTGTGGGGTTGAATTATATCATACTAGGCGCATTCGCGTGAATTCGCCCGTGTAAATTAAAGCCTATGACCTCCGCATATCACAGCTTCCCGTAAGTACTCAATGCAAACAAACCTACTGAATGCATTAATATACTATTTCGATGGTAGTGTGACATTCAATCGTGACTGTTTTGTTTTCATAATATTAAATGTGCAGTAAAATCACGTAATATATAATGTCTGGCGAAGTGCATTTTGAAGGTCTGTTTAAAATATTAAAGATAAAATATATTACAGCTCACGGTCATGGGCGCATTAAACGTGATGGTCATTGTTGGTCAACAACAAAATATATATAAATATAAACAAAATAAAAATACATTTCGATACCTTTGTTCGTAATGCAACTGTCTTGTATTATTATCGTATTACTGAACTCAGCTTTGACTTTGATTGGAGACATTTCCGTGCGTTTATGAAGTTTATAAACTCAACTAGAGTTCAAATAACATTAATGGCCTGGTGATTTTATTTAAGTTCGCCATTATACCTCTTTTACTGGAACTTAGCTGACTAGCGTATTGAGGCGTAGATTTATAATATTTATGTGCATCGTGATAAAAACGAAACTCTGATTTGACATTAGAACAGAGCAGTGAAATAGGCTGTTTTATTATTCCAGACAAATAATTCATCAGATTTACGTGTATTTTCAAACACCGTATTTTATAATTAAAATTCCAAAACACAAATGCTTTTTCCCATGTCACCTGCGGTCGTACCGCAATATTGATGAATCTATTGATACTTACTAAACGTACTCATATTATTGTTGTGAAGAAAAAAACTGCGCCGGTCGCAGTCATGGACGGACCGGCACGTGACCGTGAAAGTCTTTATTTTTAATTCGAAAAATATTTTTGAGATAAAAAGTAAAGAGTTTGTCTATGAATTATTATTCAAATGTTGTCTATTAAAAATAAAAATACCTTTTTCTATATTAAAAATAAAAATATCTTTTTCTATATGAAATCAAACACATTTTTGTAAGAAAAAGTTAATGTATATTTTCTTATCGTATATTTTCTTTGAGCATTTTTCTTAGTCGAGATTTCCACTACAGCTAATCGTATTTAAGCTGACCTTTGCCATTTCATCTAAATATAATCCCGTTTCCTGGTAGAATTTTGGGTACATGCTAAATAATATGCTGCCTGATTTATTTTGCACAATAAAAACACAGTATTATTATTACTGCACGTAAATATTAACCTAAAAAGGTAAGATACAAAAGAAAAATGGCATCGTAAACATTTTTTACTCATAACATAAATAATTTAGAAAAGAACGCGGAACATTCGTATATTCTGGCGTGCGACCGACGACGACGTCAAAATATTGGGTTGGCACAAAAGTAATGAGACACACTAGAAAAATCTATAATATTTCCTTTTTAAAATCAATTTTTTCGATAATATTCTTGAATGTTGTAGAACATTCTAGGTACTTCTGGTGTAGGGTATATAAAGCCGCGCTCGCGATTTGTTTAGTCAATTTGAAGAAAAATGGACGAGCGACAAGTTCGAACACTATACTTATACGAGTACTTGTTAGGCCACAGTGCGCGGGCTGCGGCTGACAATATCAACAATGCATTAGGCGCTGGAAGTACAAGCCATGCGACGGTGTCCCGATGGTTTGACCGTTTTAAATCAGGAGACAGGAGCCTTGAAAGCCAGCCACGCTCAGGGCGACCACCCGCAGTGAATGATGACGATTTGCGCCGCGAACTGCAGTTGAATCCGGATGCTACCACTCGTGAATTAGCGGAAGCACTTAAATGCAGTCACCACGCCGTGGAACACCATCTGCATGAGCTTGGTTATCGAAAAGTTTTGGCTCGGTGGGTACCGCACATCCTTACAGACACCAGTCGTGCAGTCCGTGTCGCTAACTGTCAGTCACTTTTGCTGCGACTCCGACGTAAAGAGTTTTTGTCAGATCTGGTTACTGGAGATGAATCATGGATTTATTACGAGAACGATACACGTCATGCTTTTTGGCTGCCTCGAGAAGAAACGCCACCAACTCAACCGAAGCCGAGTTAAAAGAACCGCCGAAAAATTCTACTTTGCTGTTTCTGGGATGCGCAAGGCATACTGTTTTATGAGCTATTACACAATGAAACTATAAACGCTGACAAATATTCAACCCAGCTTACCAAATTATCTGCCGCTATCAAGAAAAAACGACGAAGACGAGTCAATGTAGTTTTACTGCACGATAACGCTCGACCTCACGTCGCATCTGTGGTTCGCCGGCAGTTGGAGAACTTGGGCTGGGAGACGATACCCCACCCACCTTATTCCCCAGACCTCGCCCCATCAGACTATCATTTGTTTAGAGCACTGAAACAGCATTTGCGGGGTAAACAATTAAATGATTTCTCTGACGTAGAGGCGGAGTTGAACAACTTTTTCGAGGCACAGCCATCAGATTTCTGGGCAAAAGGCATCCAAACTTTGCCGGATCGTTGGCAAGAAGTCTTAGATACTAATGGTAATTACATCATTGACTAAACTTTTTTTTATTGTAATAATAATAAAAAAGTAAAAACTTAAACCAAGTGTCTCATTACTTTTGTGCCAACCCGATATTTAAAGTTCTTATGTCTGTGAGTGTCACCTAGTCAGTGTCACGGGAAGGCCGACTTAATTCTGAACTGAATACTGGTTTTCAGCCAACTATTTATTTGAACGGGAGCGTTGACCTAACGAATCAATAACTATTATGTGATGTTCAAAATTTAAATATCGAAATTATAATAATAACAACAAAACAAATATAAATAAAAACAAATATTCTAATCGAAAATAAGTACGAAAACAAATAAACTTCAGGCTTTGCGTACACGTCTTATTAGAGTTAGAACACGTCTTTATCACATAATAATTAATATTTCCAATATTTTTATACTGTATTGACTTTTACAACATAAAAATATATGATTTAATTGGACAGTGTTTTTATTATAATTTGATTAGACAAATAAAAAGAACGATAAATCAATAAATAGAGCAACGCAACGTCGTAAAACGACAAGATACTTCACATAACCAATTTCTAATGATAAAGAATTTTCTTCGAATTACGCTTAAAGTACCTACTTAAATAATATATTTGCAATTTGCCCGGACTGTCATTCAAGACAGCAATTTCAAGGAAGGATCGATTCAATTTCATCGATTGCTCTCAATTATGCTACACAACCTTTACAGCCTTGCACTATAGCTTTTTTTTATAAACATTAACCGTTTTATTTACCTATATAAACGAATACAAAAGTTACTTTAAAATCAGGCCGCCTAAAGCAAATTGACGATAATAGAAACTAAAAATTTAAATGGAGACCCATTTTGTTCTATAAAAAAAACAAGTGGATGAAATTCACCGAAGTAACAACATTCACAAAATCTATTTCGTTGCCAAATTAATATAATCTAAATAATATAAATTAATTGTGCGTTACAAACCTGACTTTTTGAAATCATTTTCCATTACATATTTGCCATAAAAGAATGAAAAAAAGTTTAGTTATAAATATATTTTTGTTTATAAAATACAATGTTTTAATACTTTTTTTATACTAAAAACAAGATTAATTACTAATTTGCCTGTGTCTACGTAACGTTTCCCCCAAATCCATTATTCATTTAATAATGCTCTGAAATTCAAGCTTGGTTATGTTCTAAAGTACCTACTGTGTTTTACATTAGGCATTTTAAATTATTCACAAGTAAATACTAAACATAATATTCATAACATATTTTGCTCAGATCCCTTTACAACAAAGAAGCTACTATAATAATTAAAGTGCTTAATATGTATTCTATTCTTATATTTCATATCAAGCGTATGAGGCTTATCAGCGTCCTATAAACAAATTTTGTTTAAATTATGTGCTTTAATTGCAAGTTTAAAATTTGTTTTCGTCTCTTATTTGGATCGTGAGGCCAATCACTAAATTCAAGAACAGTACACAATATAACTGTGTATATATTATATTCATACAAAAAACGCTATAGATATAGCGTATAGCGTTACAAAACTAATTTGTAACTAATCTTGCGATCTGTGCCAACGACAAGTTCTAGTATCTTCCCTTCTTCTTCTATGAAGTTTATGACTCATAACACCTTTAATTGTATTTAATAGGCAAATATATGGTAAAAAGTTAGTAAAATAGTAAGTAATAATTAACATATAAAAACTTAGTAACTCTTTGTGTACCTAAATAAATAGAAAAAAATATATCCAGACTAGCATGCTTACTCTCGCACGCAATCACGACTGATCGACATTGCAATAGTGTCGTTTCGTACTCTTGATTTTACACTAGCATACAATGGCCCTGGCGCTAGTGTACCCAATCAAAAGAGCGAAACGACACTATTGCATTGACGAGCGTTAGCGTTTGCGTTCGAGAGTAAGCATGCATAACAGAATATGTATATTAGACTATAATATTACAACAAATGAGACAATTTGCTTAATAATTCTGTGTTATTATGACATTACGTCTCCGTTGAAATAGCCAATCATAGATCGAGTGTTGTTAAAATCAACCAATAACAATGTACAGTGTGTTACAACTACAAAAAAGAAGACAAGCTGTTAATTGTTACACGAAATTTATGGCGAAATAAAAGTAATAAAATAGAAATTCAAAAGCTACCCTTGGGTATATTATATGTAAATGTATAATTAATTGACCCGACTTCCAACTCTGCGAAAAAAAGTTTCACGTCTAATTAATTAGATTAGTCTATTATTGTTGTGATTTACGAATACAAAAGAAAATAAGGTTATTCATGAGATTCACTTGTTCTTGAATTCAAACATTCTTTTTTTCTTTTGCCCACAGTGAGACAAAATGCATATTGAAGTGCAAGTAGCCCTAAACTTCGTCATATCGTACCTGTACAACAAACTACCAAGACGGCGGGTTAATATCTTCGGCGAGGAGTTAGAGAAGGCGCTCAAAGACAAGTTCAGGGGTCACTGGTATCCCGACCGGCCGTGCAGGGGGTCCGCCTTTAGGTGCCTCAAGACTGGAGGTCCATTAGACCCCGTGCTGGAAAGAGCTGCGCGGGAATCGGGCGTGCCTGTGAGAGATGTACTGGAGCATTTGCCAAGGGACCTCGCTGTGTGGGTTGATCCAGGTAAATATTACTTGCATACCATAAGCCTAAACTTATATTGGACCAGTTGAAATTGTGTTCTATTTTATGTTAAGTATAAGTACATAAACGTCATTCGATTGATGGCACGTTCTGTCAGCAAAGCTGAAATTGATAATTAAGCTTTCATCTACTTCGCTGGTTATAGGATGAGTTGTAAAAAATGTACCATCTCGAACCCCTCCATGCTTCGGAAAGCATATTGAATTGTTGGTCCCTGGTACATCTGAATTCGTTAATACCCACCAACCCGCACTCACATGGTGGGTCATGTTCCATTCAATTCGGTTCCATCCATAGGAAAGGCTTATAATTAATAGGCTGACGATGATAAAACTTAATTCTGGATTGCAAATTCTGATCGAAATCTTAATCGGTTAAATAAATAAATAAATTTTTATATAATAATTTATCAGTTAAAATTACAATTAGTTTTAAATAAACAGTGAAACTTACATGAAATTATTTAATATCAATACCAAGTGGCATAAACTCTATACGCTAATTGTCAGTTTAGCTTTATTAAAGCCATTTTTAACAGTGCTAACTAAAAACTAACACGATTCAATGACGTAAGTTGCAATTGCATAAACAAGTGGCCGAGGCCAAACAAAGCGAGGATATTTTGATGACAAGCTGAATTCGGCAGACCCAATCTGGTTAAAATCGTATCTGGTTAAAACCTACTCGATAACTACAGCAATCAAGAATGATTTGGTATTAGGCAAATTGCTAAGAGCATCTTTTTGTCGCTCTGAATGACCACAGGTAATCTGTTAATACACTGATTAGCATGAAATATCGTTTCTAAATAATGAGGATTGGCATCCCTATCCAAGATGTTAGATCATTCAAGAAATATGTTAATATTAAAAGCCCATTTTGTGGAAATCATTATGCGTTATCCAAACGCTAATCGCATGCAGATTTCCAATACATCAATAGTCATTGAATTTTTTTTAATTTAAAACAAATATCTTTTTTAATCTTTTGAAGTTATGTATCGTTAAATTATGAATTGCTATCAGGATTAAAAGGGGAATAATAGTTCTGCTATTTTAATAAAATACGAGGTATCTCGGCGGCGTCGAATGCGAATCAATAACTAAGAGATAATAATATTAAAATTTTCCGAAATCCTAGTACAAGCCTCAACTGATGTTCTATTTAAAAACACAACACGTCCCCTGAATTATACTTGTAAATAATGTTTTGATTTCGCCTATTCCAGGTGAAGTTTCGTACCGCATCGGCGAGAAAGGAGCGGTGAAGGTGCTTTTCAGTAGCGACGAAAGAGCCGCAGATGAGCGGACTGATAGAGAGGTGAGAGTCCGTCTCTTTCTTGAAACACTTCATAAAAACAGTGATTGGCGAAGTTTGTATTTCGGTCAAATCTTATAGAAAAGCGTTATAGACTTTCATTTGTTTGGCAAACTATAAATAAACCGTGGGATATATCCTTTGCCCCTTAGATGTAAACTGGTGTGCTGAAATGCTGCTTTGTGAACGCAAATGTGACGTTAATTAAGAACGCCAATAATGAGCTTGCATTTAAAATGGCGGTCACCTTGAAGTGGAAACTCCTAACTGTAGCTATGACCCTAGCGATATATCTGTTTATCTGATATGAGATTCGACTCCACCACTTTTCGCAATCGGGGCGACTATTCTAACCACTGAGCTATCCAGAACCTTTTTTTTTTTTTTGACGCTGAGAAATGCGTTACGCATACTCGCTTCGCCCTGCGCGGGCTCCACGGGTGATGTGGGACTCCTCCTGTGGCCCCACCCCCAAAAGGGGGCTAGACAAGAAACAAAAGTTTACCCACTAAAACTCAGCGATGTCCCTCTCATGGTGGGCGAGGCGTGGGTTCGGCCCGGAGGCCATACACCGTTATCCAGAACCTAAGAGAACTGATGAATTTTCTAAGCACTTCTTACTTATTCGTTACTACAGAGCGTATTTTCAAAATTTATTCTAATTATTAAATTTTATCAATTTTGCAATTAACTATACTGGAAAATATACTTAATGAAAAATGCTTAAAAATCCGCTTTGTCCCTGGTACTCTGAGATGGGATGGATCAACAGACATCTCAAAGTTGTAAAATAAAACGAAATCTCGTTTAACATCGCTAAGGCTAAATATATATTGCCAAAGTTATTGCTGAGCGTAAGACGGTCGCACCCCTTCGAGCTTCGAAAAAAATATCTTAATTTGGACGAGTTAAACAGAAGCTGTTTAAACTGCAATTTATGTTGAAACATTCACGCCAAAGTTGTTGTCGTTCTCGTATATAACAGGTGTTTGACAATATGATGATTGTTTTAAATATTAGACATTCCATTAATTACAAAAGTTAAATATAATTGTACGCAGGGCAATTATTCACTGACGATTATTTTGGCAAATGCATTACTCCAATAGACGATGAAAAATGTCTGTGACGCATGGAAAAGTATTAACTCGCTGATCGTTTCAACCAAACGATGACCGACCCAAATATGTTACTGCCAATATTTTTCGCTAAATATTTTATTATAGTTTTGACGAATTAAATTTTGAAATTTAACATTGGCGTTGATAAGTAAAATAAATTACCTTTGGAAATACATTGACTATATGCTTATATTTCTCTTGTCGCCTGTCGGTTGACCATCCTAAACTTTTAGTTTAGGTTGGAGCAAGATTTAATATTAGCGCAGCTTTTACTATAGGTATCTGTCGTATCCAATAATTACAACGGGCTAACTTTCGATCAGCCGTGTAGCTGAACGAAAAACGAATGCAGAAGTCAAACAAAATAAATATTATATTGGGTGATTTTATTTAAAACTCAAAAACTCCTTATCACGATTTGTAATCAATTCAACTAGGCGTGCACTTGAATGGAACCATACAACTAAATAGCTAGCCGCCCAATTAAACGCCTATTTTAACCAGTTGTCTGCGACATATCTAATACTTACATAATTTTACAATTTTATACAGTTTACATGTCTATTATTTACGTCTTCTTAATAATTAGGAATATTTCCTAGGGGTGTTGCGTCTCAGGAATGTTTTATTAGGGTATGAAAACTCAGAGCACTCTACTTTTCTTCCTCCACCGATTTTTTTGTACTTTCCTCTTAGTGACAGAATCAGTAATAGTCACGACCGAAGTAACCAAAAATCTTTGTTATAATGGCTTTAGTATAGTAATGTCTGGCATTTTCACAGGTGACCCGTGCGTTTAACCCTGAGGCGCAGTGTTTCCGGCCAGTGGAGCCAGCAGCGGCGCCATCACCGCCTGCGCCCACGACTTTCTCTCCGGCACCGCCGTTCCGAGCGCAACCACTCACTTTCACTACAGCCACCTTCGCGCAGACTAAGTTCGGGAGTACCAAGTTGAAGACGAGCAGCAAGCGCGCGAACCGTATGTCTCCCACCGAGTTCAGCAACTACATCAAGCAACGAGCTGTTCAGCAGCAGCTAGCGGCACGCGCGCTTTCGCCCGCTGCCGACCCCACGGCGTACTTCGTAGCGCGGCGTGACCCCGCCCCCGCCTCTGCGCCCCCCTACCCACCTGCGCCCGCGCACCTTCTGCTCGCCAACTGAGCAGCACACGCGCGCTAGCCGCCCCGCGCGACCCGCTCATAGAGTCTTTACTTTTTTACGAGAGAGACGCGCGCCGCGATTTATTTTTTTATTTTCCGCGGGGGCGTCCCGCGCCGCCCGCCGCTTGTGATATCCGTACGATTTTCCATAACTTTTTGTATTCTCGTTCGTTACGTCGATGTGTAAATTTATCGATAGGAGCAATAATCGGCCGCGCGACTCGCCGGCGATTTATTTTCGTAATATTTAAATGCCGAGTCAAGTTTTTGATGTCTTCGTTCGATATCGATATATTCGTAGAGTATAAGGGAACGAATGGCCCTGTGGCTGCGTGCGCTTACGACGACGTACCTTCTTGAGCGAGCCTGTATACATACGTCCTCCATTCTAAGAAAAATTACAGATATTTAAATATGTATACATTATATAATATATATATTCGTACGCGATAATCGTCTAATTTTTCACGTGGAAACGATGGCCAACAGAGAAATTACGTATTTTTAATATTGAAATTGATAATTCATACTAATAGTGTACTCTTATATATTATGTATTGTATTCTAATACTATAATAAATAAATGTTTGCATATCCGTTGGACGCGGTCGGACGGCGCGGCGGGCCGCCCGAGGCGTCGGAGATCTCACCTAGCGTAATCATCACGATTATACCGTAATAATAATTATTACAATATACATAATAATATAGGTTTAGCTACATTTCAATCTAACAGTATTTTTTTAAGAAGATATTAGTCCTTGTGTACATTATCGGTCGACCGTAACGCGGCGACCGGTCTTAGTCTGTATGGTATACTTATATAATATTGTTAAAAGACATGAATATAAATAAATGATAGAAAAAAAAATATTTCTCAATTCGTAAAATAACGGGTGCATGCAAATTCATGGAAATAAATACTATGTGTTATTTATCTTTTTTATATTTCACTTGGCGATGGCTCAGTTTTTCAGTGGAGCGATTTAGCATAGAGTAGCGGTAGATTGCGGGTAGTTGGCAGCTCGAGTTGATTCGGGATTAGTGTTAGTTGCGTTCGGGACTCGCTCGACATCGGTTGTTTCATGAAAACTATCCAATTCGGTGCACAACATTTGACAAGTTGTAAGCCTGTATTGAAATGTGCAAATATTTTTTACTATTTTTATATTTTGATTTAGATTAAGTCTAGTTGTATGATTTGAATACCTAACGTGTACTTTATTGTTACCCTATATTAAATTATTATGTAATGTGAATAATGATGTATCTCTGTTGAAAAACTGACCAGGATGCTACAGTATTTTGTAGATAAAATCTATAATGTAAGTTTAATAATAATACAATTTAGTGTAATGAGATTTTTTATTATAAAGATACTTTTTATTTTTTCTTTCTTTTGTAAGATATATTCGATGGAAATGTTAAAAAAATAATAAAATATTTGCATAATATAGTAAAAGCGGCTCTCCATGTCCGCATATAATTAGTCAATAATAATTTTTCATATTGTTGTACGACTTTTTAAGTTTATATTAAAATGTTTTGTGCAATCTAAACATTGTTTATATTTATTGTGTAAGCCTCATTTCTATCCTTCCTGTCAGTGAAAAAAATCAAAACAAAAATAATTAGCATTCAATACTTTGTTGTACAAGTTTGATAGTCTCGTGCTCTATAAATTTTTAAAAGATTGGGGACATAAACCATTTTCTAGCCGTATACTTAACTTACGGAATTTCATCAGAATGAATGACAACTGATGTCAATAAACATTGGATGTAGTCAAACATAACTAAAAAGTCAGTAACATGAAAGGCCTGACGATTGACATAAACAAACCTCTGTAGTTTATAAGTTACATTAAATTATTCTTCGTATTCTCTCAGGCATCAGGAATGTTTGGATGTCCGCAGCACAACTCGTCCCCAATCGAGGCTCAGTAGGTATTATTCTGGTGTTGAAGATAGTATGTAGGCAGAACTCCAGAGTTTATTTAGAATGGAGATGTTTGTTTGAATGGTGATGTGCATCCGTCCCCGACGCAACATCTGTTCGCATTTCATTTCGCTCCTGATTGTCCATGTTCCTATACCGTATAAAAATTTGGAGAATGATTTTGGTAACTTTGTTCTATTGCCGATCTAGTTATAACAATAAGCCGCTTTATTTCCTCCTCTGAGCCACCCTGGTTTCTGACTAAGCTTAGGATTGTACTACGTTGCGTACTATGCCAGAATTGACAAGACATTCAACCTTGTACATTTTACGGTACAGTATATAATTGTAATCGTCGATGACGAGACGGATGATTTGTCGCATCCTGACGCATATGTACACATGGCTGGAACTCGGGTTAGTACAATATGTCAGATTTCTCCAGTTGATTTTAAATCTTCCCACAAAACATTAAGGTTTAAAATCAAGCAGAGAAACTTGATAAATTTGTATAGCCTGATGTGCTATTGATTGTACTTCCGAGATACGCTTCACGGACCTTCTGTCAGATTAGCGCGGGTCCTAAATTCTCAAGAGATGTAATTTTGAAATTATAACGATCCATCAAGTTTATATAATGAATTCCGGGGTAATAATGAATTATTTAAAAAAAAAAATTATACAAAAATCGATCTAAAATATGTAAAAGCAACTAGTTGTATTATCATTGTAGTCGCTTACTAATGTTCAACTCAGAATGCTCCCTGACTACAATGAAAATTTTATTTAGCCATTTTAATAACCAGTATATATTTGGAATTAAAATCAATACTTTTAATTAGATAACCAACCCATATTGTTATAATTCAAGAAATATTATTTTTTCATATTTTACATATTACGTCAAACATGCGCCATATTGAATATTAAAAAAATATATACCCAGTGTAAGCTTAGAATAATAACTAAAGCAGTGTAAGGTTTCTAATGATACCCTATACATTTATAATCATTAAGACTAAAAATTTATGGTGAAATAAAGAAAACTCACATTAACCCTAGATAGAATACACTTTTTGTTTGGGTAGTCATGTAAAAATAATAAAATAGAAGCAGACCAATAATTAAAACTTTAAAATAAAAATATATATATAATCTTCATAAAACCATTTCTTCAGTAACCCACAGCTTTAAGCTCTGACATTCTTTATCTGTCTGTACATTCTAATTCAATATTTTATTATAGATAGATATAACATTGTTCAGATTCCAAGATGAGTAGCTAAAGTCCCCGTATTATGAAGTATCAGCAGTAACACAATACCCAGACCTGTGACAATATAGAAAAGTGTTCTACTTTGACATGACCGGGAATCGAACCAGGGACTTTAGATATGGCGACACCTTAGAACCGGCGTGTGAACCACTCGGTTATGGAGGTCGTTGATCATATCTGTTAATTCCGCTATTTCTTTAGAGCAATCGCCCGGATTGCGAAAGGTTCGAGTCCCATCTCAGGGTACCGGGGACAAAATGGCCTTTTTATGAATGCAAAATGTATGATATATATATTTTTTTATTTCTTACTTTTGTTGCTACTTACATATATAAGTACTTTTTATAAATATTTTATATAGGTATCACTAAAATAATAAGTATCTATAAAAGAAATTATTATTACAGCGAAAGGCCCGAAATATTTATTTATTTGCACGACGTAACCAGAAAGAAATCGGTGAACATACCTACTTGCGTAAAAAATAATATAACATAAATTATCGATAGTTCTAAAGAAAAAGGGAAACTAAATCGGGTGAAAGACAATCAAAGAGTAAAGTACTTATATAATTGTACTTATAAACTTTACTGACTATAGAACTTCAAAACCATAATTTATTGCGAGTATTTCACATGAGTTCAAATCTTATTATAAAACCAAAAGAAATAAAAAAGTATAATCTATGTACAAAATGGATATTATTCATAATATTCGTTTTGAACAAAGAAATCTTGTTTTTTTTTTTGTAATATGACATCAAAATATTTAGGAGACATCTGAAAAACCTATTTATTTTGTTATGCAAAGAAAACTACCCATTTGATTTCGATAAAATTTAAATGAGATCACCTCGTCCCATTAGAAGAATTTTGAAAATCGATTCATAATTGGCGAAGTAATCACGTGACAAAAAAAAGATACAGTCGAATTGAGAACCTCCTCTTTTTTGAAGTCGGTTCAAGACTTTTTCCCCGCCCTATTATAATAATATAATTCATCATTTTGTTCCCATTATAAGATTGAAAAATAGCCAAATAAAATTCGAATCGTATAATCATTAAGTCACTTTATTTATCAAACCACAATAATGACAAAAGTTTACCTCATCTATGGACAGTTTTACAAACCTATCGAGACCTTACAACATTTAACATTAGATGCCAGAATAACTTTTAGAACGGAAGCAAAACATTTATCAATTGACAATTTCTTTTATTTACATTATTACATAAAATATATGCAAATCTCACTTCCGATGCGTTTTCCAGTGGTTCTTACCATATTCAAAATGTTTCGTAGACAGTGCAGCTTCAAATCAGAGGAGAAATATCACGCCATTGTGACTAATATATTGATGTTGGTTCTAAAATTTAAGATATTGTTAGCAATTCTGTTGCATATACAATAGACTACATTTCAATCCTGTCAAACTTCTGGAAATAACTTAGATAGCAGAAGTAAACTTAGAAACTTATTGTATACATAATTACAATTATGTACCTTTTATTACATGTGACTACGGACTAATTAAAATAAATTTGTTTTTAAACTTAGTTTGACAGTGATGCAACAGAATTAGCACCACTGTTTGATGTAGACGCGTCCCTCATTTAGACAGATAAAGAAGATCGCGATGCCCTAGTCTCTCTCTAATGTCGCATACACAATAAAGGTCGAGAGAATTATTTGAGAAAATGTCATAATTGGTGCAAATATTTTTAACCAACAGACGACAATTTGAATGATGTAAGAATTGTTAATAGCTTATAATAATATTATTCTAACTATTTACAATTCTTACATCATTCAAAATCTTGTTTATTTGGTAAAAATATCTCCTTAAAATATGACATATCCTTATGTAATTACTTCCCTCGACTTTAGATATGTATACAATCCGTCAAATCGTTCTGCTATGCTCAATTTCTGCGCTAGCTACATAAGAGTCACGTAAGGCATCACAATCTTCCATCTCTTTCAAACCGGATACTTATGGATACATCACGCCTCTAATTTCAAGACGCCTGCACAGCATCAAACTAGACTTTATCGCGTATTTGCTTTCAAGCAATTAATGATGTACAATCATGCGTATTTCAAGCAAAACAGGCAAAATTTTTATAATTTTGATTAATAATCTGTTGTAAACTATTACATATAAATGCAACAGAGTTAAATAATAGTTTACTTTGTGATATGGCTTACTTTACAGGAACATATTTATTACTATTTCTTGTTTTAATTATATCTATGATAGGTACTATAGTCAAGAAAAAACTTTTTGGCACTGATCATTGTTTTAATTAGTACAGGTAAAACATAACAGCAAAAATGGTATTGTTTTTCTATGTGTGAAGATGTAACTTATGATTTGAAAAATATAAATTTTATTTTTCTTTAATATACAAAATATTACTCTTAGGCCTTCACAAACAGATAATAGACTTAATTCATTTTTATATCAAAGTACTATCCCACCATAGATGAGGAGATATGTCCTTAGTGGTTAAATTACTTTAGTATAAAATATACACTTTGTAATTACTAAAAATAATCAGTACATTGTAAAAACTTAAATGACCATTTTTGTATTTCAAATTCAGTAACTAATCTAGTCCCTAAATTACATAAACGCAATAAGATATTTACATAATAAAAGTAAGACATTATTATTTAAAATAAAATAAACGTCCACGATCAAGAATTACCCCGTCATGAAATAGATATTTAAATCTGAACAATACAATAAAAATTGATCCTTAAATAAATCGATACGGGTTATGACTGATTTTGACTATACTTTTAAAATTTTGGCCCATGATTCCCATACAGAAATTAAAAGAGACATTTTTAACTTGCTAAAATTCAAAGTAAGTACTACATAAAATCTACATTTAAAACCATTCATTGTAAATTCTCACAAGCCGTTACAAAGAAAAATCAAGTCTTCATATTCACATATATAGATATAATAAATAAAACAGTAAGTGAGCAGACTTAATCATATAAGAAAATTGAAACGAAACATATTAAGTGTAGATAATGCCAAGGACGATAGCAAAGGAATGACAATAAAATAATCAGTATAATTTCTTCCGTAGTATCAAGAACCGTCTCAATACAAAGGCGTATTTACAGTGTACAAAACGGTGCACCAATAGCGGGATGTACCGCGTACTATACATTAAGAAATTACAGAAGCTCGGCTTCGTGTAAATTCTCAATACCGCTCGATGCTCAACGTTCAAATCAATGGGCCATTTCAATGTGCCGTTGTAAACTTTTCTTGTTCATATAGAAACGTTCACACATGGCACACGGGAAAAACACTTTCTCGTTGTCGGCGTGCCTCGCGCGCGTGTGCGAGGACAAATCTAAAGCTCTAGCGAAATAAACTTTGCATATATTGCAGAAGAATTTGGTGGGTGTCGAGTGCATGGAACGGTGGGCGATAAGATCTCTAGGTGTGGCAACACCGTCTCCGCATTGAGCGCAAGTGAATTCACCGGGCTGAGGAACCGCTACGGCACCATCATCTTCAGAATCACCTGATTCTTCGCCGTGATGCCTGGCTCTATGGTTCTGTAACGCTTTATCGTTGTCGTACTGAGCTCCGCACACGTCGCATGCGTAAGTTTCGTCTTCCACCTGAGCAATGCCCGAGGAACTACCCTCCCCGCCCTCGTAATGCTTCTTCATGTGAACCAGCAAAGTCGATTTTCGTGTAAAGCTTTTATCACACACTGGACAAAATACAGAGTTCGGCTGATGCACTTCGTCCATGTGGCGTTGGTAAGCGGCACGCTTCGTGAATTCTTTGTCACAAATCGTGCAGTATCTATCCTCGATCGAGCCTGACTGCTCCATTTCGACGGAGTCGTCTGAACGCAGTTTTTTATTGGGATTCACGACGGTAACTTCCACTTCAGGTGGAAGCCTCCTCTTCGCGACTGTAGCCACCGGAGCCACGTGTTGTACACGCGCTAATTGCACGGGGTCAACGACTTCGTGTTTGCTAACTTTACTCGTCACTTTGTGCTGAGGCATCCAAAGTCCAGTGTTATTTGCGGCCGCTTTTCCATCCGGCGATCGTAAATGCCAACCGCGGTGACTTTTCAACGCTGCTATAGATGTGTAACTCTTGTGACATATTTCACAGTCGAAAGTTTGCGGCTGTGATGGGATTTGATTTATGCACTGGTGATTTTGTAACGCTAGTAAACCCACAAATTGTTTACCACACGTGTCGCACGGGTATCGAGCTTGATACTCCACGCTAGGGTCCGCTGAGTCTTGATCATTTTCGTAATCCATATCTATTTCTTCTTTCACATCAGACATTTTACTAGATCCCTGGCTCGTGTCGAACCCTAACAACTCACGGGCATGAGCAGCCTTTAAATGTTCGTACAACTCTAATGTCGAGTTTAATGGCTTTCCACATATTTTGCACATTTGTGTAGTTGATTTATGGACATTCTTTCTATGGCGATAGTAAGACTTCTTGTCGGAAAAGGTAATCCTACAAATCGTACAACTGGATCTATTACCGGCTTCACTGGGTGTCACTTGTACTTGAGTGTCATTGCCACTAGCGTTAACGTTAATGATGCCGTGTTTTGCACGTTTATGCTTCCACAAACTAGTTCTAAGCGGAAATCTTTTGAAACAAAGTTCACACGAGAACGGCATCGGGTCTTGTGACTGTTGCGCATTATTGAAATTAGTGAAATTGAAACTATTAAATTGCGGTGTTGACAGCAAAGCTCCGTTTTCATCGGGGTTGTGATACTCGTCTTCTTCTGTAGATGCGTGCATTGTGTTTTCTTCGCTATCATTTCTATCATTAACGAGGTCAGCGTGAAGTACCTTCTTATGTTTCCAAATATTCTTTTTATGCATGAAACCTTTACCACATATATCACAAGAATAAGGAGCGTTAGGAACATTGCAATTTGGTTTATACACAAAGTTAGATGGATGCTGTTGGACCGCTAGTTTAATAGGCTTTCCGATTATTTGTGGTGCAAATCCTTTAGCATCTCCAGGTTTTCTATTTGTAGTTGGTACTTTAGCATGTATGCGCATATGATTGGAGTATGCTTGGCGACTCTTGAATGATCTAATACATATATCACAATAGAATTCAGACTCCATGGATGCGTATTGACCAACTCCAGGGTGCGCATTCTGAACGTGTTCAGATAACTTTTGCGGCGTACTGTATGAGTTTGTACAAACGCTGCAAGGATAAAACTTCACACGCAGATGGGTGTTCTTATGCTCGGCAAGCTCAGAAGGTCTTAAGAATTTCTTGTCGCACTGATCACAGTGATGTGCGACCTGATTGTGTTCCGCAACCTGATGATCAGTCCATGCATCGACAGTTTCGAATATAGCATTACATTCTGTACACGAATAATGGTATTCTTCGGCTTCCTCTTTAACAAGAGACATGTCCGGTTCATTGTTCTGCACACCCAAACTTCTATCTGAGTGTTCCATATAAATGTGCTTGTTAAGATCAGCAGCTTGTTCAAATTTGACGTCGCAATGTTGACAATAATGGGGTTTCTCTTCGTTGTGTATAGCCTTTAAATGTTTTACCAAATTCGGATAACTACTGTTCTTCTTGCCACATATTGGACAATCTGTCGGCCGTCCGTCGACACACTTATTCTGATTATCAGATTGATCGAAACTGCCGGCATGAACGCCCAGGGCATGGTCGTTAAAATCTTGCATACTTACAAACTTCTCTGTACATAAATCACAAGCGATGTAGACAGTACATTCGCCGTTGCGAATGTGCTTCTTGATTAAACTTTTATCTTTATATCTAGCTCCACAGTGAACACAGACGAGTGGCACCCGAGATTGGCCATCTTCGTGAACGTCCAACACGTGTTTCATAATAAATTGTTTCAACTGGAACTTCGCTGGGCAGAGTTTACAAGCATAGGACCTTGCATTGAAGATATCTTTATATTGAACTTTATTGTCTTTAGGATCTTCTAAAACTAAGTCATCGGTAATTCCATTTTCGTTATAAATAATTTTCCAGAGATTTGTGCACGAGTTGGATCTCATGTGACTCAAAAGTGCACCAATATGACCAAAAGTAACAACACAATTATAGCACGTATGTTTCGGCACTTTATGGCCATTTTTTTGTAAATGTTGTATAACAGCTTTTCTGCGAGGATGTTCTCTGTCGCAGCACAGGCATCGTTTTGTATTTATCTGTTCGATTACGTCTCGATATTTCATAATGAAATCGCGCTGCGTCTTTGTCACATACAACTTATCCGGATCGATCTCTTTGATCCCCTCGACACCGTCTGTGGTGTCGTTCAGTTCTGTGGTTTCTTCCAGTTCCTCTTCCTCTTCTTCTTCATTCTGCTCACTGTTATACGAGTTGGTTTGCATATCCTCATTGATTTCCACGACTGGCGCTATTTCCATTGGAGGAAGATCTTCGTCGTCCTCTTCGGCATTCTCGTCGTGATTTTCATGTTCTTCAATTTCTCTTTCATCATTTTCATTTCTGTCATCAGCTTCTTCGTAATTCTCTTCAGCTTTGTACTCGCCATTGGACGGCGATCCAGAACCAACGTTTTCCTCATTATCCTCTGTGTTAATCCTTTCATCGTCACTATGTGCAGCGTCTGCATTATTTTCTTCCTCATTCTGGTTATTTTCCATTTCCATATTTTGGTCCTCTTCGTCAACTTCGTTTTCTTGTTCTCTCGCAATTTCAATTTCATTGTCAGATTCCATATCAACAGTGTCATAATTTTGGTTTTGATTATTGCCATCGCCCTCTTCTCCTTCTTCGCCGCCCTGTTGATCGTAACCATCAATTTGTTGTTCATATCCATCGTTCTGATGTTCGTAAGACTCTTGTTGAGTATCATAACCTTCTGTCTGCTTATCATAGCCATCTGGCTCTGACAACATTGCTTCAACTTGGAAAGAAGCAATTTCTGGTTCAGATATTAAAGTTTCCGGGCTTTCCGGTCCTGAATGTATGATTTCTGGTTCAGTTACGACAACCTCCGGTTTCGATGTCAAAAGAGTCTTCAAAATTTGAGGCTCTTTTTTCTTAATTTGCAAATCCTTCAAAGCTTTAATGCGCAATGGATAAGGCAGATTGTTCTGTGCCCCTTTAGTAGATTTGACTAAAACAGGTTTCGGAGGTGCCACGTGTTTGTGTGGAATCATTTTATTCGACATAGGCATAGGTTTAGAAATAAGTTGCATTTTAATCGCCTTTGGATTGAAAGGATTTGGCCTTAATTTTGGCTGTGCGAAACGCGAAGGTTGCTTTTTGTGTGTAATTTTATTCGTATACCTATCAAAACTATGAGCGGTTAGCTCATGTCGTCTAGCATTGTGAGAATACCTATAAGATCGACCGCATACAAGACAATCTTTAGAGGCGAGTTGTTGAATACCTTGGCGGGCATGCAGTGTTTCGCCAGACGATCGCATAACAGTTATAGATACTTCAGGCATCCGTGGAGCCTTTTCATGTTTTTTAGCTGAAGCTTCTTCGTCTTCCTCCTCTTCTTCATCTTCATCCTCGTCCTTCTCAGTCTCGACTCCCTGAAGTTTCAGAAACATTACCAAAATTAAAGTTAATCGACATTTTCTCACATAGCAAAAATGCTTTTAGACAAATATGCTTTCCACTTCACAGAAAATTCTCCAAAATTTCAGAAAACACGACTTATAATTCAGACACAGATGCTCGTGACAGGACTCGAACCTGAATACGAATTGAGAAGCACACCTGAACAGTGAAATAAAGAGAACCGTAATGGTTTGAATCCAGTTGGTTGAATTATCTATAACTCAAAAATTATCAAACACATACATTTTTTTTAATTGAAAAGACAAATATCAGAAAATATTTATAGATTGTACCAAATATCTATTTGAATACTTTAAAATTATTCAATAAAAAAGTATTGTAAGTACAAAGTTTTCGTGTAGTTTCCTTAGAGCAGTAGCCCGGATTACAAAAGGTCATTAATGGATTTGAGTCCCATCTCAGAGTGCCAGGGACAAAGTGGATTTTTTAAGTATTTCTCATTACAAATAATCTTACTGCATTTATTCTTTTGTAATATTTGCCCTATACCTTTGAAAAATAATATAATTTTTACATTTATTTTTCTATATAATAAAAATATACAATGAAAAAAATTTATTGCAACATCCAACTCTTTAAGTCTTTAAGAATTAATAATGATTGTTTAACAAAATAGAGTTTCAAATAAAATAAAACATAACTAAAATAATAAGATATAAATGATAACATAAGTTGCTGTCTCTGAAGCAGTTATTTCCAATATATTTCCAATATTGCACTTATATTAATAATATGAAATAATATAAAATATCGAACAAGATAAAATAACTTGAGAATTAAGACTAAGATAAACAAATAGAGCATATTGGAACTGTATGTTCCCTGCAAATAAATTGGCCACATTTCATACAAAACTGTTTAGTTCTCCTGTCTCTTTTAGTTGTTTTGATACAAATTCTGCATCTTTTCCTGTTTCTATAAGATGTGTTTTCTATCAGTGAATTAAATTTTCGTTTTAAAGGCATATCAAGTAATGGAGACATTGGTTCTTTATATTCCAAAAGACTGGTTGCCAATTTTGTGATGAAAGTACGCCGTTTCATCACCTGACTGGTGTTTTGTGAAGACCAAATCACTTGGGCATTGACTGACGCAATATTTAGTAAAGTAAAAAATAGAGAAAGAGTCCAATCATTTGTATGTTGCATAGTAGTGTAATAATGCATTAGCACATCAATTACTTCTACAGCAGAATGATTTTTCTTATAAGCATTCACAACAGTTTTATGTTTCATATTAGAGTATCCTCTTTTATAAAACGTGGGTTCATTAGTTAAAACATTCGAAGATTTTAAGTCTTCATTTATATATGAAGTCAGTAATATATCCTCATCAAAAAAACCAGTTAAATGGGTATCCTTTTTTCTATATTTAGAAAGAAATATGGGTGGTATAATATCGTCATTGGGATGCACAGACGCTATAGAATACAACTGATTCTCCTTTTCCAGACTTTCTAACAAAGGCATGGATGTGAACCAACTGTCCATCACAATAGTCCTTCCTGTTCCAGACAAATGTTGGACAATTTTCTTTACTATTTCCTCTGGACCAAAATAAGAATCAATGATGACATCCAAGTTATTGACATAAAAATTGGTTGAGTCAACCAACAGTATCACTTTCATGCCACATTTTAAGGGTTTCCTTTCATTTTTGTAGCGAAATGGACATGGCCCATAAACAGGTACAATGACCTCATCAATAACAGCTATTTCGCTAATCTCAAATGATGCTCTACAATTCATGGTAAATATTTCGAAAACTTTTCTCATTCTTTTCATGATATCAAACTTTATAATACTGTCTTCATTATCAGTTGCAAAGCACATATTCTGCAGAAGAAATTTAAATCGTTCATATTTCATAGCACTCCTTATACATGGAACACCAAAATCTTTATTCCAATGGTCAACACTGTTTTGATGTGTCGGTCTCATAACACCGTGAAGGTATAGAATGCCAATGAGCGTTTTGATTTCACCCACATTTGTAGAAGATGCAATACTGTGACCCATTTTAAGTATCTTCTCATTTGTTGATACCACAATCAATTCAAGCAAATCATCAGTGAATAGACATTGCCATGCATGTTTAGGTTGTGAATAATGTTTTGGATCATCACATTTGCGTTTTTTCTGGTATCTTTCAAGCTTTGCTTTCATATTATTGCCAGACATAGACAATTTAGGAGATTTCGACAGTAACTTTTTATTCTTACACACATAACCATTCTTGATGTCCACATAAATATCATCTATATTATCATGAAGTTCACTCTCGGATTCTGAGTCATGATCGGACTGTCTTAGAATATCGCATTCCTCTATGGACTGCAGAGAGTCAATGACATCATCGTCTTGAATCATATCCAATATTGCATGGACTCGTTGCCAGTCCATTCGAGGATCTGTGAATTTCTGTGAATGAAATTAATTCCAGTTAAACTATTCCCACACTGGCTTTAATAATTTCACCAATCATCCACTACTTAAATATGTTGTTAAAATTATTTTGAACAATTATATTCTTAAAGAAAAAGAGTTGGAGTGTCATTTAATATCAAGACTTCATAATAACAGTTTATGATAAGAGTTATCTGTACCTTATCACTCCTTGGAGTAAGGCCCAGTGACGCCAAGATTGGAGGGCCTTCTGGCTGCACTTTAGCTGACCCTGCAGCAATCTATAAAAATTATATAAAATGTTAGAATCATTCATTTATTTGTATAGGTACATATGAAATAAATGAAAACTTTTTCGCAAAGTACAATTTCATTTTTCAATAAATATTTATCAAAATAATTGGACATTATAAATGCATACAGAATATAACACAATAAAAATATGACTTGATATTTAAAGTTTTCATATGAATTGTAAATTTTGTATAATAAGAGTAATTTTATTAATTTGCCTTTAAATAGAGTTTGTTAGTAATAATCTGTCTTTATTTTCCTTTATAATTGAAATTTATCAGACTTTGGATCAGAAATTATTATAAATCTTTTATGGAACATAATTTAAATAGCATGTTTAGTTCCTCAGTGGGCAGGTACTAAATTATTACTTGTGTTAAAACAATGGAAATGAGGCCTGTCTAGTGTCCTTGACATGGAAATACTAGCCCAGATCTAAAATTCAAGTGTAAAAAACAATCATCATATCAATGAGTAATTTTCCAATGGTATACTATGTTACTAAAATAGACCTCATAGATGAAAAACTAAAATAATATCAGACAGATAAAACTATTTAACTTACTTCATTATCTGGGTATGAGCCATCAATGACCACACCATCATCATATGCTCCATCAGATAAAGGTTCACTCTTTATTTTTATCTGAAAATACATTTTTAACTATCAATAAAATTCATAATAATTTAATTGAGCAGTGACAACTAAAACAGGTATATGCAGAAAAACAAACCTCTTCTAGTTGGCTTCCATCTTTTTTTATCAGTAGCTCTAGTTTATTTTGTGTCCTTTCACATACTGTCTTGAATATGTGCCAGTTATTGACATTATCCATACATTTCCTGCAGACATTCGTTGGCAGGTCGTCATTCTCGCTTATCTGGAAATATAATCATACGCAATCATTGTATGGAGCACGAAAGCCGCGCACATTTCATCAGAGCGAACGAGGCGAAGCCGCGCCTCACACATGTCTACATAGATACAAGGAGAAACTAAGTAGGTAGGCGTAGGTATATCCGAGCGGCTGACTCCTCGACCGAATAAGTAGAAGCGAGTCGAGTGGCAGCCAGCGAGCCCCTCGAGGGTTACCGCTCGATATACGCACACAACAATATCACACTCACGCCGACATCGACGCTCGACTCGTCCCGTTCGAGAGACGAGCTGCACCGGCCTGGTCTCGTCCGATAAATCAATACATACGATGTCCAACGCGGGACCTACCTAACGATACGCTACGCAGACCCCCTCCCAGCCTGACCCCCGGGAATAATGCCAAAGTCGACCCTCATGATACGCGCCATTCCTCACCGGCTGCACGGAATGTGACGCGACGCGGCCACGAGTCGAGCGATAACCGTGGAACATTACAAAATGGTGGACGATCTTACGACATCTCCACCTAAACGCAGCAAGCCTGTCATTGTTCAAACCGGGGCGGATGACGAGTTCTCACGTACACCAAGGGTCTACTTTCACTCAAAACACCACATGATCACTTATTAAATGGTTTACGTACCTGTACAGACACACAATCCTTTATTTTCGACGCAAGAACGGGAGGTTCAGAATCATCCGAACTGGTGGTAGGAAAAATAGGCACTAATTCGCCTCGAGATGACAAGCACAGTCTACAAACACGATCATAATTCACACTCATCGTAAATAAACACAATTTGGAACGTATTACACCATCCACAATATTAAAAAAGAGACGCCATGTCACCACGAGCACTTCAACACAAAGCACTGCACATCGTTCTGGCTTGAGCACGAAAGCGGCTGATGATGAGCATGAGAAGTCGATAGGTTTGGTCGAGACGGCTGGCTCGAGTCGCCGACCACCTGTCGTTCTGCGCATGTGCGCGTTGAATGGCGTCAGTGCTAGCAACATAATAAAATTAACACGGCCCGTTCTCAGGAAGCACCAACCTTTAAACGCTATGTTATTTTATTGATAATACAAAATATAAAGAATTAACACTGCTGCTGCTGATGATTAAATTATAAGTTTGTTACGGGAACATAATAACTTTTTAATTTGTCGATGACGTTTTATTTATACGCCTCGTACTAACGAGATTCTACAGGAGTAATATTTATCGTATTTATTTCTTTACCATTTTTCAGTTATACTCTTAAGACAAAATAATAAACAATCGAATATTTTATTTAATATTTATGGGGTGTAAAAACTGCATCTTCAAAAATAAAATATATGTGTAATTTTATTAAAACTGTTGACTATCCCTGAACTTTATCTTTTATCCCTTTCTAAATTTTCCTCGCCCTAGTTCGGTTTTGGCGGCATATTTAAATGCCGGAGCTAATGTCAAACTCTTCATTTGAGCGGTAAATTTAAAAGTATTTCAAAATATATTTCACTTTTACACAGTCTAAATCTGCTACTTTGTCCGCATGGACTTTAATATATATTTATAATGTCCATATACCTTCTTACTTATTTTTAACGATTATAAAATACGTAGTAGACATATTATTGATCATAAAATTCAAATTATGTCAATAAATACATTTTTACTTTTACTTTACTTTACTCTCTATAATAATGATGAGTTATTAATTCGATAAAGTATTTGTTTTTATTGTTGCTTTGCCAGAAATGGTTAGAAATAAAAATTCACATTTTAACGTAGTCATCTTTAATCAACTTGTTTATAATTTCAGATTTTTCTGCTTAAGCAACATTTAATGTCACACAACATTTACGTACACAAAGAAAATAAAATATTATACATAATATTTGAATAATTTATTGAATTTAAATGTATTTTTTATTATTGTTGCCCATAGCAGTTAATACATTTTGTTAAACTATCTACCTATTTATATGTTTTTATTGATACAATGAACATTCAGTGTGCTTCGTTAAATATAATTTTATAGTACTTATCGATAATTTGATAATCACTCTTTATTATATACAAAAAAAGACTCAAGAACACAAGACACAGCTATTTTGAAAGTACCACAAGCGCATCATATTCATATAATTTACCAACACAAAGTGTTTTACACTGTTAAGTTAATAATTTAAAATAAATAAAACTCATACAGTGTTATTATTAATAAACAAAGTTTAGCTTTAAAGTAAATTTACACTGAGACTGCACTTATTATAAGTCTAAAATTCATATTTTTAAACATATACTTAGCAAAGGTTAGGTTAATCTAGTACGAGGTTCTACGGCAGTAATATTTACGGCTAGAAGGTAGTAGGTTTGCTTATTCTCTGTATAATATGAATTTGAACTCATAGTGAAATTGAAGTTTACTCTGACGCTTAACCTTGTGTATTTATAGCACTGATATTGTTTTGGTTATTATTATTATATTTATGAAAGTGACCCTTAATAATAAACCTCTATTGTATTATAATACCACGTGTTAAATATCAGTTCAGGATTCTTACCCGCCCGCTTATGCCGATATTGGATCTAGCCCCATTTTTTTGCATTCTATTGAATTATAATCTCGTTTATTTATTTTTTATTCTTTAGTTTATAACGAGTCTCAGGTAAGCGGTTAATTTCATAACAGTAATAGTTTAGCGTTATTATTTATAAATATCCATTAGATTTTTTTTGAATGTGAGAGATCTAATATTAGGCCAAATTAAAAAAAGACATTTAACTTTTTTAAATATTTTGTATTTTTTCCGAACAGTTGAATTTATTAAACTAAGTGATGGTCTTCAATTTAAACAATAGTCAGGTAATGGTACAATTTCTGTTGCACCACTCCCAACACTAAATTACATTTACACATAAAACTAAATTAAACAATTTCTAGTTTCAATTTGGGTTCGTTAAAAAAAAACAAAGTTAGTTTAATTCTGTGATCTTTAGATATCTACAGAATTAATAGGATAAATAAAGTAGCTGTGTGAATCGTGCTTAATTTTACGAACAATATATAAAATTTTCATGACATTTAGTTACACAATACTCCTTCGAAACGGTTTGATTAATAATAATTTATATGTATATTCAGTAGGTCAGAGAATAGGTTGTTATATATTCTTATACCCCTAAGTGATAAGGGTGGTCCACCCCAAATTAATATTATGGCAAAAGCATTTTGGCGAGTCAGCTAGTATGTTATAAATAAGTAGTTACAGTCAATGTGCAAAGTAAGTGAATATAAACAAAATATAAATAGTACTCAAATATCTTTAATATAAAAAGGCTGCATGTAATATTTGGCTACAACTGCTGAAATTAGAGTATTATTCGACTTCTATTGTCCTTGACATATATTCCTAAGATTTTGCTGTATGGCTTAGTTCCTTCGCCTGCCTCATGGACGAAACTACTACTACTATCTATGACATATGAGAAATATTATAATACTTTTTGGAAATATTTCTTGTTATTTTTGTAAGACATCATTGTCAAAGTAGATAATTATAATAATAAAACTGTTTATTTTAGATTTTGACTGTATCGTATATCTTAAAATTTCCGTTGATAATATACACCAAATGTATTTATGATGATTCAGGTAGAGTTTATACATTTTTTAATATTATTAATTGTGAAAGAATAAAAATATCAATACCTATATTTAAACATTTACTCATATATACCATACACGTATTTAAAAATTCACAAAGATAAACTATATTTTATTTATCTTCTCCTACTATAAAATAATGTTACTAATTATATTACTTAATTAACGTGTACTTACATAATAACAGTCAGAAGGTAATATACTTATTTTAGTAAATACAATGATACATTTTTGTAAGCGTTTCTTTATATATAATATTCTAAATTACATAAAATTAATTATGATAATGATTAATCAAATTTATACACTAGACTAAGTCCATAATAATGGCCATTCCAGATGTGCGCTTACCTATCGTTTTGTGGTAAATAGCAATTGGATATAAAAAAAATACGAGGAATGTCTATATAAAATTTTCTGTACTAATATACAAGTAAGTACATTTGAAATTCATGTAAAATAATCATAGAAAGTACACAATATAGCTTTTAACATAAAAATACTTAGTTTGAAAATGATATACGCACATATTAATTTAAAATAAATTTTATATTTAATATGTGTTGACTAAAACTTATTATTTAGTTCTGCTTAATTCTTGTGTAAATAAACTGTAATATAAATATTATATTCAAAATTGGGAGTATTTTTTTAATTACTAGTGCCAAATATTAATTCAGCCTTTCTCACTATTACTCTCGCGTTAAAGAGAGCTTGTTCAGACAAATATAACTCTTTGGTCCGCTTGAATTCGAATTTTAAATTTGGCGCGCATCTGACAGCTTTCGGTCGACCCAGCTGGCTGTTTTAATTTGACACGCGATTTACGAACATGGCGGACACGAAGAACGCGGCTCCTGTGTTGGTTGCGCGCGCACTGCCAGCCTGGATGGATCGACTGGATTCGCCTTGGCAACTAGAGAGCGCGCCACATGAGCGAATGCCGCTTCCACGTTGAGTCCGGTTTTCGCAGATGTCTCCATAAACGCGACTTGGTACTCTCTCGCCAGTCGCTGCCCCTCCTCCCTCCTCACCGCTCTCTCTAAGCCGCTATCGGATTTGTTACCTGGAAACGATCAGGGTGCGGTAACTGTTTAGCTTGTTTTTGATTTAAAAAGAAACAAGGTCAGTGACTCACTTCAAACTAAGTAAGTATAGGTACTAAAGGTCTTTGTTTATTGATAGTCTATGGGAATGTTAAGCTTGAGTCCTTTATTTATGAGTAGGTATGAAAAGATTTCCGATAAGGCCAACTTTTCTTTGTTTTGAAGAGAACAATACAAGAATGCATAAAGTTCTTACATGAACATGGTACTATCATTTTAAGCAAGTTGTATTCTTGGAAACAATAAGGAAATAATGAATAACACAGGATGGGTGTATGCCACTAGATCATACATGAGAGGCAATTAGTTGAGTAGGGTATTAAAAAAACAGGTAATCGGCGACAGTTAATTGCTGACATAGTCAGAAATAATAATAATGTAGTAAAAACTCTTTAAAAAAAATAGCTTCAACATCTGCTGTCAATCCTATAATTATAATCAGATATGGACACCAGTTGTGATCTACTGTTTAACTTGCGAAGTACGAGATAATACATTTTGGCCACCCATTCTCTATCCCACACTTACAAAAGTTGCTTTGCCATTATAGACCGAATGCTACCTATATAGCTAACACCATCGAGCTTTTTAAATTGATGAATTCAAATGAAATTAAAAAGTTAATAGGTTTTATTTTTAAAGTAGTGTTACATGATACTGTACCTAATAACATGATGACGACATCATCCTGTGCATACTCTCGAATTTCTCCTAGCCAAGCGCGTATGTTGTCGAAACTCGTCTTATTGGTCACATCATATAGTAATAGAAGGGCTGCAGAATAAACATAAATTATATATCTTATTATTTATTAACTCGTTGAAAGACTTGTAGATATACATAAAAACCCAATTATAAGTAAAATTTATAAATAAAAACCCAATTATAAGTCTCCACAATTCGCAACATACTACAATTAGGTAATGTGCATTACACACTGGTACACAATAAGTCCGCAGCTATAATAATTTAAAACCTTAATCAGTAGTTAATAGCATATTGCCACTTAAAAATAGACGAAGAGCATGCTTCCTATATGCATAGCCTTAACCTCGCTAGTGCCAAGAAATTTAAGATGAGCTGCCTTTGTTGAAATTGTTAAATGCTCGCCAGAGATATACATTCTGCCTATAATTGGTAAAAACAGGAAGGATGTATAAAATTAATATATTTATTATTTTTAAAAACAGAACAATGATGATATTTTCTGTCATCATAGTCGGGTGTGTATTAGTCGCCGATTGCTAAACTCCAAATAAATAGACTTGTTCATAATATTTTTTTTTAAATCTACCATCCATTTTTAATTTCGAATCTCTGCTAGTTTAGCAATGTGAATGGAATTGATGAAAATAAGTGGAATAAACTTTTATTTTAATTAGACTTGTATGAAGGCAACCTATTTAGATGTAGGTATGTAGAAGATTATTGTTGCGTAATTTACGAACTCCTTTGATTTTAACTTTTAAAATCAAGTTTCAAATATTTTTATAAACAATCTTTGTTACCTCATGTTTATTTTAAATTTTAGAATAAAAAGGTAAGTTTTTAGTGTAGCAATGAATTTAGAAAATATATTTGTTGGATGCTAGATGCCTATATATTTTATTTTATTGCTGTATGTATATACAATAACAGAATATAAATTAATTATATTTTATCGGCATTCCAAACGGCGCATTTTTTTTATCTTATTAACATACTTTTAATAACATAACACGGAATTCAGGACAAACAAACTTGACATTCGTGAAAATTACGATAATTTCCATAAATTAAATGCTATGATATTAAAAATTGTCATATAGATCTGATCATATAGAAACACTTTATAGAATTTAATAGTTTTCGCTGTTAGTAGCTTTACAGTTTTTCTAAAAAACCTTCTCAAGTTACAAAATGAATGGCTTATACAGATTGTAAGGTTTCTTCTTTAATTCGAAAGCTAATCTAGTGCTTAGTTAAATTTATGCGAAATCGGAAGTTTTGTTTTTATATCAAACTAGAGGACTCACTGATACGTAGTAATGTATCACCTGTAACGTTTAAATATTCCGTGGACTACGATAAAGATTTCAAACCCAGAACCAGCAAAATTAACCCAGCCGTTCACATCATACATACAACGCAGCCCAAATTTATGATATATGTTTGTTTTATTTTTCATTCAACAAAAGTTATACTTTACTTGAAATCAATAAAAAATTAAAACGTCTGAAAAAAGTAATAATTTTTCATAAATTCATACAACTAAAGCATTTATAAGTTGATTTATATAATGAATTACCCTGCATGAAAAATATAATAAGTAATTTACATAATTATCTTTAAGATCACAGCTATCTCTTACATAAATATCGTTGTTCCGGTAAGGGGTTATCACGTGAGTAACTACTTGTAAGCTCTACAATCAGTTGTCGACGGTATAGTCCCCTATGCATATTGTAAACTACACTTGCATCTCATTTTACTGCTCATTCATGGTAATAAAATAAGGCAAGGGCATAGTATTAATTAGTCAATGTGTGCCCTAGTTAAGCATATTCACATAAAGCTGCAGCAATCCAAGTATCTACGAGTAACTAGATGGAGTTACTGGTATTTAACACGCAATGTTAATTCTAAAATGAGCGATTTTAGTTATGCCGTGGGTGAATAATGGGCATACATACCATCTTCAAATAAACTTAAATTATTAATACTTAAAGCTAAACGAATACCTACATATTTATCATAGTTTTACCATGTGCGTCTCTGTAATAAGCATGCGTAACGCTACGAAAGCGCTCTTGTCCGGCCGTGTCCCAAATCTGCAACTTTACTTTGACACCGTCGACTGTCACCACCTTATTCTGTGGATAGATGGAGCCACATGTAGCATAAGTTAGTATTATAACTTGTTTAATTCAACAACAATATTACATTACTAATAAGAAAAAAAAAATTATGCCATCTTCTTTATATCAAAGTCACCAGTTTAGTTAAAAAAGAGTATAAGTAGGTATAACAAATTTAAAAACAGTGGTAATTTTATGTTGGTTAGATATTTAAACATTAATTATATAACTCCCTAGCTACTGATATGTTACCAAATTTGGGTGACCAATAACTTTGCCACTAATGAAAAAATTAAGAAGATACTTAGCTAACTACAAATTATTTGTAGTTGTGATTTTTTAAAATAGTCATCAAAAGCAAAAAATATCTTACTTCAAATTACTAATACAAAGACGCTAATAGAAAGATAAAAATCTTTATCTAATATAACAGTTTCTAAAGCGAAACAGTGATATGGCAGCTGCAATAAATCAGTATTGAAAAAACTACTTCTAGCAAACAAAAAATCGGAACCATTGCAGTAATAAATCACTCGGCTCGCAGTTGATTCAAATCAAAGCTGTCATGGCGAGGGGCGGGAACGCAAAATGCGCGCCAAACTTTAAACACCAATAGCGGCGAGGCTGGTCCACCGGTGCTAAATGCTAGTGGCCCATTTGAACTAAGAACCCTAACGGTAATTAATTGTCTTTTATTTAAAAGCAACTATATAATTTAATTTCGTATGTCAACGAAAAGGTTGTTTATATTATTATGGTTTAGATATCAATCGTGGAAGTTTAATTGCTAGTTAGACCTAGGGTTGCCAGATGGAGAGACTAAAATATCTGGGCAAAATTTGAAAAGGTCGGGATTGTGGGATCACAGTCGGGATAAAAAATTACTAATAAAAAAATCCACACTTTAATAATTAAATTTTAAAATAAAAGCAAGTATCTCTTTTTGGCAAATTATGAGATCACATAATAATAAAACATATAAACAACTAATATATCTACTTATTATATGTTTTTATTTTGCCACATGAACTTCGAAATTGATTTTATAGAAATTTAACAATTTTTGTCGGGACATATTTGTTTTTTTTCGGGACTCTGGACATCATACGAAATGTCTGGTCGAAAGTTTTTAATACCTAATTACCTATAGCAATTTAATAATTTAAATCAAAACATAATTTATTTTTAAAACCCATTTGGTGGACTTTTATATTTGAGTCTTATTCTGACGATTATGATGAGACTTTTATTAGATTACAAATGAACCTCGGGTGTGACCTAACTCTCTTGCCATAGGATAAAACATTGTTATTAGAGATGTTGTGGCAACATTTTGTTTCATTTGACTACTTTAGCGTAGCTTATTGTGGATAAATTACTTTTTAAATCAAACTACAAGTATTTTGAACGCGTGCAGCGCGTTTATATTTCATTTCATGACGTTTCGGACACTTTACAGGTTCCGTGTTCAATTGCGCGTTCTTGAGTTAACGTTGTTGAAAATAGTTTTATTTAATGAGTAGTGCGCGTTAAAAAATGTGCAACAATTCAGTAGATAAATATGCAAACACGAAAACGAACAGCGTAAGCTTCTTGCAAGTAGCCAATTGAAGTGCCACCATAACAAAACTCGTAATATATAAAGACTTCTAAGTAGGTACGTAGTACCTGGTTTTACTATGGTAATACCTAATTTGCACGTAGTTACTACCTAACTATTACGTATGTACGTAGTATAGAGTATTAGTACGTGGACTCACTCGTAACTCTCAATTGCTCTAGCTATATAATATGAAATCTCAACGATATGATGGCGATATTTCGTTACATTTTAATACTTTTACATGTATGTACATGTAAATAATGTACTTCTTCAATAACCACGAACGAATGCTGAAGAATGATGATTGAGGATTTGACAGCAGTGATATTAACTTATTTATTTATTTAGTTTTAGTTTAGGTCTCAATTGGAAATGAATTCGGCTTTGGTGGTAAGAGCCTTAGCTGTAGATTTGTGTCACGTGTTTGTAGTACCCGGAAGTCGATGCCGACGGTTGATATGTAGTTTCCGGCGAGGAACGTCCCGTCGCGGAAGCGCACGAGCATGCATGTTTTTCCCACTCCGCTGTCTCCAAGCAACATAACCTAGAAAATGGCAAGGGATTTTTAAATATCACTATAACCGATTTTTTTATGTAGACTGTGAAGTTAACAGTTCTTCACTTATTATATTAATAGAAGTAGATACATATTCAGTTGTTATACTTCGCTTGTATTATTTTTACTATGAGCTTCTTTCTATTCTGTAAGTTCTTAGAAAATGTCATATATCATGCATTGTCGGTGAACTACGCGCATTTCATTTCAAATCAACTAATTTTGGCTATTATTTTGTAGTACCTGAGCAACCGTACCTTTTGTAGTACCTTATAGCAATTATAATTTACCGGTCGATGAAAGTTAGTGCTTTAAAAATGGAGCTAAAAAATAGAAGTGCAAAATTCAAAAATAAGAGGGACGAAAGAAGATCTAAATCAGCGGTTAGGATTTATATGGAGCATGTTCGATATTTTTAATAAAATAGTTTATTTATGTATTATGATGTATGATTTAAGTTAAATCTCATTGTAAACGAACTTTGACAGGACCTCCCGCGGCTGTCGCGCCATCTGGTGACCGAAAAAACGGTAGCTCTCAATGATTTTCGTCTTTACCCTCAATGTATTTAAGCTTAAAATTAAGTGGAGAAATTTAACACATATTGTTGACTGCAACTAAAAAAATTTAGGTAACATGTTTCTTTATGGTACTATTTCTTTTTAGTATGCTATAGGTACCTTAAATGATCAAATCAAATATTAACATGAATCTTTTTCTTATTATGAACTTTATCATTACTGAAATATAAACTCACTTTTCCGAAAACGTCATATTTATCCTCTTGTTTAGTTTGCTGTTCCCATGGTTCCGTCGGTGACGGTGGTTCACTGTGTGGCATCACACCTTCCTGTTCATTCTTCTCATCGTCCTCTCTTGCTTCCGGAAGATTCCGGGCCCAAGTTGGTCGCACCCTGCCCACTATGACACGCTTCTCTAGTTGTCTATTGTCGACTGAATTCGGATTCCACATCTTTAGTGTCTATGTAATGACACTTTTGAATTTAGAATTTCACTGTGTTACCACGTTTGAATTTTATAACGATATTCTTTTTGAATTTCGAAAGTTCACTCATATTAATTTGTTATGCCTTTGCCTTAAAAAAAACAAAAGGGCTCTAATATAGGTATTATAGGTAATTTGCCTTCCGCCTGCGGCTTAGCTTATATGGCCGCTGCGAAACCATGTAATGGCATAAAAAGTTATGTTAATAAAAATTTTGAATTATCCGTAAAAATAAATATGAAGTTAAGAGTAGTGCGGTGGCTAATAAGCGCCGCGGCCCGCGATCTTTTTTGTTAAGCAACTTTTGCAAGGATCGGTCACGGGATGGATGTACACAAAATTTTTATACTCCGTGGTTTAGAAGGGACGTTAAGCCGTTGCTCGCGGCTGCATTTGCAGTCGTTAATACCCTCCAATCCGCATTGGGCCAGCGTGTATGGCTATGGGCCATCCTCCTTAATTATCCATAAGGAAGGCCTAAGCTGCTGTAATGGCGACGTATAGGGCTGATGACGATGTTTTTCATTAAAAACCCGTTTAGTATTTTTTGCGCGAAAAAGAAACAGACCAAACATACATCCTTACACACTTTAGCATTTATTAGATTAGTAGGACTCTATGAGTTTTTAGTTATAATGTTTTCGGATTTTTCATTTTAATATTTAAATAAAAACAAGTCGGTTTATATTTAAAACTTGCCTAAAAAGCAAAGGTCTTTGAACAATATTCATAACATATATTAATCACCTATAAAATAATAACATTCAAAACAAAATTTTGCGCCCGTATTTATCTGGTGAAATATTTTTTATAAAAGTAATAAGACCGTTGGGCTGTTGAAAGAAATCAATTATATCATATAAAGATGAGTAGGGAGGTCCCTAAGACAACTTCCGCTGCCTATACTAAAAAACCTATCAACGGAAAATAACATAACGCAGAAATATATAAATCACTTGAATATCACAGAAAATATATCTTGTCATATAAACGAATGCGATCTCCATTTGTTTTTCGTAGTTATCTCATAAATAAAAGTATTGGCAAATATCGATAACAAGGAAAATTTTCGAATCAATATGAGGAAGCTTTTGTAGAAAAATACGCTTACTTATTTTTTGTAAATAAATATCAAGTGCTTAATGTTGAAAAGTCTTCGGCAAAAAATGAAGAAAATGGTAAATAAGTGGTTAGAAATATTTATTATAACTTGAAAACAACAAACGTTCAATATTAAGTGCCCTTTTATTTGATCAAGTGGTTCTAGAGTATTATTAACATCAGTCTATTAATTTCCCCACTGTTGGTTAATATACCTTCCTTAAAATAGAATGAAATCTAATTGGAAGAATGAACCATAACCCACGGGAGCCCAGTACGGATTAGCGGATGTTAAAGAGCGAAGATGCTATCGAGACGAAGGGCTTAACTTGCCCTCCGAAGAACCGAGGACTCGAGATAAAATAATTTTAGCTAACCCATCCTATGAACAATCCTTGCGACATTTGCTAAACTTTTGCATCACAGATCGAAATAAATATATTATTTTATTATATATTATTATTTCCACGCACATTAAACCACCTTTAGAAAGGTTTAGGGCGTGTCATTTTCAAAACTTTTTACATGACGATTTGGATCCTTCGAATGTACAGTCAACTCCACGTCAAACTATACAAAACTGTCAAATTTCCTCACTTGATTGTAAATCTTAATATTTTAGGGGTAGATATCAAAATCCATTGCAAAAATTGACAGATTGTGGTAACCTGACATCAGCCGTGTGTAGGTACATTATATTTCCTTTTGTTGCTACTATACCTACTGAAACGTCAGTCTCAGGTTATATATATATTATTATTCTATTAAATATCGTGTGTTTATAAAACATCGGCTTTAAAATGTTACCTTTCTAATGATAAAAGGATATTTCAAAGGCCTAGGTTTCGGAATACATTACAGTTTTTATAAGCTCGCATTATCTTTACCTAATATAGGATATAGATTTTCATATGCCTCAAGGAATAGGAAAACTTGTATAAAGCGTTTTTATATACGAAAAAATGGATCAATATTTATCTATTAAAGCTTTAATTCACATATGAGAAAGTATAAGCAGCGGCCTTAATGTTATTAGTAGATACTCTTATCAACAAGAGAGTTATGTAGCACGTGCAATAACGAATCGAAAAATACAGTATGTAATTAATTCTTTCATCTGATGTGTCTTTTAATATATTTTATAGAATTAACCCCCCATATGAGGCCGCAATATGTTTTGAGGTCGTCTTTGAGTCACCGATTTTCTATGTGTACCAAATTTCAAATCAATCGGTCCTGTAATTTCGCACAAAATCGGTTGTGACAGACAGACAACCGGGTTATCCTTAACGATTTCGTTTTCCTTTTACGGTACGTAGCCAAAAAAAATAGCAAAGATCATAATACGATATACATAAAGACATTATTACCTATTTGAAAATGTAAGTTTATTTTTAACATATTTTCTCTACCTTTACCTAAAAAATTACCGTTGACCTCCTTGGTCCGACTATTGATTAGATGTCAAAACATCCGAACATCAATGTAGGCACAGAGGTTTTTACAAAGATCATATAATGACGTCGTATTAAAAGTAAATTTTAATACGACGTCATTAAATGTAAATTAAATTGTTAATGCTAGATAACTATATATATTCAATATTATTCAACGGAATTGTAAAATCCGGATGAATCATTTATGTTGGTTCAAAGGAAAATTAAATTCAATAAAGTGTTTAATTAATATTCTACGAAGAGGCATTTACCTAATTTATGAAAGAGTTTTCATTCGCTTAGAAGGTATACAAATTAAATGTGGTTGGGTATTATTAATCGTATATTATAATTTAATGAATACTCTATGGAATTAATGAAATGAAAATTACCTACTTATAACATTTGATCAATATCGATATATCGATAAATATATTTTAAGAGTATCTCGGTGGTGTAGTATATGAGCGCCCCGACCTGCGATCTCTGTAGTTCATTCAGCAACTTTCGCAGGATGGGTGACCAAAAAATATTACCTCTAACTACTCCGTGCTTCGGAAGGCACGTTAAGACGTTGGTCCCGTCTGCATTGGCAGTCCTTAATACCCTACAATCCGCATTGGGCCGGCGTGGACTGTCATGGCATATTGTGGGGCGTTGCATTTTACTAGAAAATAATTTTATCGTAAAAATAATAAACAAAATTAACAAATATTCTAATTACGTGATATTATCATAGGTAATATCATATTTATTAGCTTTTTTTAACTTTATAACGGATCGGGATCGTGGGCTAGGGAGGATAGTAGGCAAGAGTTTGATTTTCAACTTGAAGATCTTCGTCAAATTCAGGAGAACATTAAGAATATCCTATATTGAAATGGAGTTATAAATATTTGGTTGATGTTTTTATGCTATATTTTTATATATGCCACTTGATTTATATAAATATACATACTTTAAATTAATTTAATTGTCAATATATCATTGCTCTTTATACAAATATATTTCGCAATAAAGATCCAGGAAGGTTTTTATAAGAAAAAATAATTATAATTGAATTCGTACCTATATGTGAAACTTCTGGATAACATAATATTAAAAACGAGATTTTTTTTTCTTTACAATATTTTCATAAAACATTTTTTTTTTCTCAAAACTGTCCTCGTGTGTGTTAGATATGGTTTACATAAGTACGTCCAATTGTAGCCAGGACCAACGGCTAACTTGTCTTCCAAAGCACGGAGCCAAGCATCGCGAGCAATGGATGAACCAATGGAAAGTACTCGTAAATTATAAAACTTAATTTGTTTCAATCACGGTTATATTTCAAGCTTAAAATAGAATGCTTTGATCTACCAAGCGTTATTTGTACATTGACCGAAATGTCACAGCGACATTTTCAAATTGAAACCAAATGCGAGGGTGCATGACCTGTGGAGGACGCCGCTATCCCTTTGAAGTGGGAACTTTCATATAATTTAAGCCAAAATATTGCGGAATTTAATTAAAAAAAATCAATCGCAGTATAAATTCTACTCTCGCCAGTTATAACCATAACTATTTCTAAATATCGATGTATTTTTCGGAGAAAAACAATCTGAAACGGTTATATAAAAGCGCTATATATAAATAAGCCAGCGGTGAACTATCGGCGGAGGGGGGAAGCTATAGGTTCTGGGCCTATTGCCGCCCTGGGTCTCCGTAGTCCGCCACTGCCATAATCTCTGGTGAATAATGTTTACTATATAACTTTATTGGCTGAAACGATTTTGATGCGGTATTCAACATAGTTTTTGTTAGACTTAAGGGAAGATTTTAGGTATATTAATCGACTAAAATATGGAGGTCGCACATTAACATGTGTTGTATGTATTATATTAGATTGTATAAGACGGGTATTAACACGATCAAATTTCCGATAGTTAGGTTTTTCACCTAACTATATTTCCCGTTATTTTGTTACATTGGTCAGACGAAACTAACAATAAATGAAAGAGTCCGTGAACACATCACAGCTGTAGAAAACCACCAGGTAAATAAATCGGCGATCGCAGAATACTCAGTGGAAAGAGGCACAAACCACTGGATTGAATTCCATCGGACTGGTTACTCTCTGCGGATCGTCATTTCTATTTGCAGATTGTGCGTGAGGCGATTGAAATTAAAAGAACATCCCAGCAATTTCAATCGTGAAGATGGTTTTAAATTATCAACAACGTGGAATCCAGTGATAAAAAACTTTTCGCGGTTGCCGGACCACCAGAATACGGCTGCGATACAGAATAGGGATTCCGTTAGTGTTGTGTGTGGCGGTACTTGGAGAAGCGTTTGGCTTGAACGATTTTGACGCGGTTTTTAGAAAAGTGTATTTATTGTTACCTATAATATAAAACTTATAAATATCACTATAGCATGAAATAAAAACTT